ACAGTGTCCATTGTTATATACAGTACAGTCCCCTCTGAAAGTATTGGATCAGCAAGGCCAGTTCTTTTGTTTTTGCTATACACTGAAGACATTTTGGTTTGAGATCAAAAGGCAAGCCTGGAAAATCACAAAAGGAGAATGCAACAGTTTGGTGTTGTCAGTGGGTCACCAACTTGATGCAGTTATTGCAAGCAAGGGATATGCAACCAAATATTGTGTTATTTATCTTAATTTACTTTAGGTCTGTCTGTTATAATACTTTTACTCACCAAAAATTGAGTGCTCTGCCACCAAAGATACCATGTTCTAAGTTGTTTAACACAGCTAGATGTAAATATCAGGAAACAAAAGCTGAAATTCTGATCTTTTATCTCATATCCATCTTTTGATCTCAAACCCAAATGTCTTCAGTGTATAGGAAAAAAGGAATTAGCCTTGCCATTCCAATATTTTCAGAGATTGTAAATAAAACTACAATTGAATAACAGATTCTACTGTCATTATTTATTAACCCAAAAAAAAAAAAAATCATCGCATTTGTAGAAGCCATGTGTGAAAAAGTAAGTACACCCAATCATTCAGTAGTTTGCAGAACCTCCTTTAGAACGACTTGAAGTAAAAGTTTTCCACATGTGTTTATGAGCCTCTCACATCATCTTGAAGGAATTTTGGTCCACTCTTCCTTACAACATTGTTTTAGTTCACTGATGTTTGAGGGCATCCACTTCTACATAGCTCTATTAAGGTCCTGGCACAGCATTTTGATGGGGCTGAGGGCTGGACTTGATTTGTCCATTGCAAAACCTTGATTTTTTTCCTTTTTCAGCCATTTAGTTGTACATTTAGTGGTGTGATTAGGATCATTGTCCTACTGCATGATGCAGTTTCGGCCAAGCTTTAGCTGCTGGACAGATGGCCTCACATTTGCATCCAGAATGATTTGGAATAATAAAGAGTTTTCACCAAACATGGCACTATAACTGCATTATAACTAAACATCTCAACTTTCCTCTCATTGGTCCTAAGGACAGTGTTCCAGAAATGTTTCTTTAGATGTAACATTGAAACATAAGCCAGGCTTGCATGTTCTTTCTGGAGAGAAGAGGCTTTCTCCCCACTACCCTTCCATAAAAGCCATACTTGTTAAGTCTTTTCTGATGTTTCTGTTAGTAAGTCATGAACTTCAAGATTTAATATCATGAGGCCTGCAGATCCCTAAATGTAACTTTTGGGTTCTTTGCAATTTCTCTTATCATCAAATGGTCTGAACTTGGTATGAATTTGCTGGGACATCCACTCCTAGGATGACTGGCAACAGTCTTGAATGTTCTCCATTTTGTCTCACTGTAGAATGATAGATTTCAAACTGTTTGGATATGATCATATAAGCCTTCCCAGGTTGATATGTAGCAACAACTGCTTCTCTAAGATCATTGCTGATGTCTCTTCGTCTTGGCATGGTGTCGACTTGCTCCAGACCACCAGACTGCAAAAAGTTCTGCTTTTATTGAGATGGCCACATCCTGATGCTAAACTGGCTGCACATCATCATGACATAGAAGCAATAAGGGTGTTTGTTACCTGCTGTTAGATCAGGTTTTGGGATCTGATGAGGACCAGATGATGTTTTATTATGTCTGGACATATAATATATAAATATATAAATACTTATACATAAATATATAAATACTGTCTTTTTCTCATTACAGTATATGTGATTTTTCTGTAAGGAACTCAACCTTCAATCTCACTGTCAGTTACTGAGTTTTATACTAATGTATAGTCAGCTTTGAAAATTTGGGCCAAAGCACTAGAGTGCCACCCCTGGCTACCAATTTAGTCATGGAATTTTCATTATTCAGGATTATTTTGACCAAAGGTGATTGCCCTTACATCTACTGACCCTGAAATTAATCGCGAGGATTTCAAAGGGCACTGAGGCAGATCCCCTGATATAGCCGTCCACTTTATCTTAGCCAGCAGTGAAAATCTGCAGCACAGACAATGATTTAGTGTCTGGGCTCAGAGAAAAGGTCAAAGCTCTATATCACTGCAGAAGACCAAGATTCAGCTCTGGGTTCATTCTCATGAACTATGTCCAAGCAGAAGTGATGATGTAGGATCGGTGTTCTCCAGTGGATTTGTATTTAAAAAAAAAAAAAAGAAGAAAGAAAAGAACAAAAAGAGATAAAGAGAAACAAGTCCAGAAACAGTAATATTGCTTTTAAATGTGCTATAAATACAAGCCCAGGCCACCTAGAACGCCCTGTTTCTTTTGAGTCTGCCATATTTCATTTTGTCCAAAAGAGCAATGTTTTTAACAGTTGTATCACATTCAACTTATCGATTTCACAGTTAGTCCACTGGAGAAGTGATCAATTTTAGACATAGAACACCAAAATCTATGAGAGTCTAAACTGGGGGATTTTTTATACTGCACTTTTACAGCAACAGAGTAGAAGCTTGCTCTGTATTGCTCCTCTTGAAATTTTTTACTCAGTTACTCTCACAGAGATAACAGCAAAGATAGCCTTTGTCAAGCATCATTTTTAATCGTAATTCCTATTAATTAATACGTTCATTCATCTTCATTAACAACTTCATCCTGGTCAGGGTCGTGGTGAATTCAGAACCTATCCTAGGAACACTGGGAGGCAGGAATACACACTGGGTTGGTTGTCAGTCCACACATTCACACACTCATTCACATATAGGCTACGTGCAATAACTACAGGCAGGGGGTGGGAGGAAACCAGAGAACAGGAGGAAACCCAGTACAACAGTAATTCAAGCTCAGGTTCGTGCCACCCGGTCATAATATCATTTGTGCAGAGGAACTGTGTCTGGTAGGAAGCGTAAAATGAAGAGTGATTGAATTTAAATGTGATCACTCTATGGTCTCTGAATCTCCAGCTCAGCTCTGCTAAAGTCTTTAGTTCTACAGATTTCAGTTGGGTGTTTCTTTCCCTTCCACACAGCTGTGGCACTTTTTGTGTGCAAGTCTCTTTTTTTTTTTTCTCTTGTTTAGCTTTGGTTGAAAAGTGTAAAGAGCTGGTTATGCTGGCAGAGAAGTCACATTTTCTGTTTTAAACTGTCTTTAGCATGTTTTTTATCTGAGGAATCTTTTTTTTTTTTTCCATCACCTCTCATCCACCCCAAAATGCCCTTGAGAATTTTTTACTCTGCTTGAAAAGAAATCAATTAAGTGTTTGGGTATGGCTTTAAAATTGAATTAGTATGTTAGACTTCTTATGAAAAATGTAAGTACGACTGGGAGTACAGCTGGGGAGTGTGATGAAAATTGCATTTTGCACTGAGAATAGTTGGGATATGAGATATTCAACAAAACACTATATCACTATATTGTTACCACTTGGTAGAGCCAAAGCTATAGCCACATGAAATGCTTAAAATAAATAAATAAATAAATAAAATAACTCGATCGCATCTAAAGAATGGAAGCTAGTAAATGTTAATTAGATGGACTGGACTAAATTAGCCATAACCACTAGAGATCACTTGTAAAAGGGTTTGATTCTTAAACACATGTAAAATAAACACATTGAATATACTTCTTTGCGTTTAATAAATGCATTGTTGAGTTCAGTGAGTACAGTAAGACTTTAGAGAGCAGCCTTTATTTTATGTCCTGGAGTTATTGCAATTCATTATAAAGTTTTGCCAAGCAAAAGTTTTAGTTTAAACCAGCCAGCTTACAAAGGTCCATGCAAAATGTTACTTTATCTATTTTAATTAAGCCTAATACACTCAATTGGGTAGATTTTTCTAGCTCACTGCATATAAAAATAAATGTCATATGTAATTAACCTGGGTTACAGAGGCATTACCTCAAGGGACAACATGCAAAATGTCTTGAGTAGATTAATTTTAAATAAAGAAGATAAACAGTCATTTTTCTTATTTCCAGCTTCAAGACAAAGGTCACATATTTTTCGATTGCTGTGTGGCTGTTACAGGCTTTCTGAGCAAATTAGGCTATGTCTCATAAGTTACTTAATCAGAATGTAGTATTTTTGTCCACAGATCAGCCGGTAGCACAGATCAGTGCTCAGTGCAATCAGTGCTGCCTTTCAGCACCAACACCTGCCACCTTTCATACATATTACGCATCACAGGCAATTGCTTTAAGACTACACGAGAAGCCTAACATTTCCATAACATTTCATTAAAATGCACCAATGAATTGTTTACCAAAGTGTCTATAGTATTATTCATCAGTCTTGGTGTAATTCAATATTATAGCAAATCAAATGATCAAGTATCTAACTGCAATATCGTGCTGTTCGCTCATTAAACTCAAACTGTTTACTTGTGCACAGTGCAGCTTGCAGGGAAATACACAGAGACACAGAACTAACAGGCACTCATTGAAGCCTGTGTGTCAATTAGTATCTGTTAGGTGTTTGTGTACTTGCTGTTTTAATGGGAAGAAAGATGAACACTCATTGGACCAGGGGCGTTTCTAGAGTTTGATCACTACTGGGGCACAGATCCCCCAAGAATTTTACAAAAGTACTTCAAAATTTTTAGGGGGTCAAAGGGGTGGAACCTCGTAACCAGCTGCCAATCAGTAAATCAGGAATGAACGTGACTGACATGTCAAACTCAAACATATCAGCGCCAAATGGAATCGGTTGCAGTTTGAAATAGGTGTAAGTTTTAGCTATTGGAAATTAACTGTAAAGTAAATAAAGTATAAAGTTCTGTTTGATTATTTGCATTCATTTCTGAAATGTGTTGTTTAGAAGTAGCTAAACATTGGGTCGAAATTGCAGACTATTAAAACTACTTCGAAAACTCTTTTGATGCTCATTGTGAGGAAAGGCTGAAGATTAAACAAGATGGCAGACCAACGCTCAAGACTTTCTTTCAAAATCAGGGAGCAAAAAGGTTCTTTTGATTGCCTTGGTACAGTAAAATTTATTAGTCTTAGATTCCAAATCCCTGTGAATGAGTGATAACATGTTAGCACAAGGTGGGGTATGGTGGCTTAGTGGTTAGCACGCTTGCTACACACCCCCAGGGTTGGGGGTTCAAATCCCGCCTCTGTCCTGTGTGCACAGAGCTTGCATGTTCTCCATGTGCTTTGGAGGTTTTCTCTGTGTACTGTGGTTTCCTTCCCCAGGCCAAAGGCTTTTCCAAATTGTGTGTGTGTGTGCACGATTGTGCCCTGCGATGGACTGGCACCCTGTCCAGGGTGTCCCCTGCCTTCTGCCCCAAGTCCCCTGCGATAGGCTCCAGGCTCCCCTGAGACCCTGTGTAGGATAAGTGGTACAGAGACTGGATGGATGTTAGAATGACCTCATTAATATAAACCTATAATTCGTGTTACATATGTAACATAATGTACCATAATAGAAAGTTTTGCTTCCCATTTTTGAATAACCACCAGCCACTACTGTTACGTATATATTTAATCACACCATCTACACAGTCTCTTTACAGTCTCACATGAATGTATACTTGATTTGCCTTGTAGTTTGCAGTCTTTCACCTTGTTGTTTGAAAGCTGTTATTTGAAACTTTACCTTTATACGCTGAGGGAAACCAAATTGCTCATTTACTGTCACTCGCCTTGGAAACTATAACAACAAATTGAGGAAAAGAAAAAAATTACCTAAAAAATACCTGCATGTTTTTGTACAGTGGGAGGAAACTGGAGAACCCAGGAAACCATGCGAACACAGAGAACAAAACACTATACAGACAGTGACTCCAGCTCAAGATCAAACTGGGGACCCTGGAGCCTTAAATCAACAAATGACCATCTTATATAAGTCAGAACCAGCTTAGTTAAGGGAGTAGAACTGATTTCTCCCTGTCGTTCACCAGTATGGCTAGGCCAAATCAATCTGAAAGGAATTGCTCACCTAATGTGAATAGCGCTGACAATCTTGCTAACTTCCACCAACTTTTTCTCATCCTTGCTTCACTCCATGGTCTCCATCCAAACCTCTCTCCAAAGTCATGCATGGTCACAGTGCAGTGATTATCATAATCAATCATTTATTTTGGTGTCAGTATGACATACCAGTTTTGGTTGTCAGTAGCACTGGAACACAATTTTACGGAGGGGTAAGAGCATGATTTTTTCCTTGCCTGACAAATCTGACCCTGTGCATGGGTAACACAACATAACTGTAATTATTGCTGTCATTCTCTTTTCTACATCCAAGCAATGTCTTTATCATTGAAAGAGTTATGTGATGTGGTGAATGTGTTTTTATGAGAAGGCAAAATATATATATGTGTTGTCATTGACAGTGACTGTGATTATAAGGGTGGGCAGGATAGCTATCATTTTGCTATCACTACTAATATAACATAAACATACCATAAAATTATTACTCTCAATTATATAGCAGACTTAAATATTATTTATAAATAACAGATTTGATCTGGACCTGTTTTGATGTTTCAAGCCCTGAATTTCAAAGGTTTGGATTCAGAACAGAAATATTAAAATGTGTAAAATTCATAGTTTCCATTTTCAATAACATCAAGTTTTCATGCTGTTAGGTATCAGGTTCAAGTTCAAGTGCATCTAATTTGTCTCAGTACAACTGGATTTTGGACTTGTTTATCTTTTCACAATTACTTAAAAACTCTTATTAGTAAGTCTTTTTTATATAAAATAAGTCCATCTCTGAGAAAATAAGACATTTCTAGCTTTGGCTGGACACACATTACAAAATAATATTTTAAAAAATCCTTTTTATTTTCAGGTCAAATATAGATATTTTTATAAAATTACAGATTCTATATTTGATTGCCCAGAAATGCTAAACACATAATCAATTAGACTTTCTGAATGAATCGTTTGAGGACCAACTCTCCCATTTCTTTCACTCAGAAGTACTGACTGACAGAATGTGCAGTGACCTTTAGAGAAAGTCTGACTCCCTAATGATCTTCCCAACTCACTCGCAGGATGGAAACATTTCTATTTCAGAGTGAACTGAGATAACGAGGTCTTGACTACAACACCAGTGGCTGAAATGTGGAGATTTTCCTCTCAATCTTGTGGTCCGTCTATGGCCTCTGATGTCCTGAGCAGCAGGTTGAGGCACCCTGATGCTTCTGACCTTTCTTTCACATGGTTGCTATGATACCCTGTAAGTGTGGATATGCCAAGCCACTCTCTAGCATAGCTTTGACTTTTGTGCTTTTATCTGCAACTTTAGATGTTATTTGTAAATCTGAAGTAGCATACTTCACTTTTCAACCCCTTTTGTAACCCAATTTTAATCAATAAGCACTGGATAGCTACAGTTTTCTGATTTATCTACTTGAAACACACCCACAAGAGCTGATCAGTTGTTGAGTTGTACTACAGCAGAGTAATCACCAAATCATGCTGGTCTCTGCTCTCCTAAAAGACCACAGTTATGCTTCTCTGCTGCGTACCCTTACTACCAGGCATTTTGCCATGATTTTTTGTTTGTGATTTCTCAGTACAGTGCTGTTGGAAGTTTACTTGCTGTTGTGATTGGCAACATGCACTGGGAATTCCTAGAATCAAATTTGGTTTCCTGCCTTCACCTCCTGCTTTCTCCCACTCAAGGTCTTAAAGAGGGAAATATCAAGGCCTACATATTGACCAAAGGTTTTCATTATCTGTCTGTATGCTGGCAGTTTTGATAAATGTTTGACAAGAGAGACTGTCTTTCTCTGAGCGTAACTCTGATTCACCATGCTGACTCACACTCGTGTCTTTTCATCCATCAGTTCATGTGTTTTGTATTGCTTCTGGCAGAGAGGAAAATGAAGAGATACACTGTAAAATACTGTTTTACAAAATATTGTTTTATTGTTGTATTGCAAACAATTGGGCAATTAGAGCAGTGCATTGGTTTGCAGTAAAGCCCCAGAAAATGCAATGCATAGTGGGATATCTAACATTTTAGGCAGGAGGGAGAATGGTAAAGTTTCTCCTTGTGTCGACATCTGCAAATTAGTGGATCATTTTTGTGCTCTTTATTTTAGGTGAACACAAATGTTAATTTGATGGTAGAGGTGAATCAGTGCAAGTTTGTTGAATGAAGTCATTAGTTAAGGCTTTGCGCTATAGATAAGAAGATAAGTGTTCAAATCCCTGCACTGCCAAGCTGCCATGGATGAGTCTTTGAGCAAGCCCTTAACTGCTCAGTTATATCAATTGTAAGTTGCTTTGAATAAAAGCATTAGGTGAATGCAAAATATGTGTATATTTTAGTTTCTGTATATATTCTGTATTTATGGTAAATGCACTCTGTTGATGGTAAATTACTATAAAATTTACTGTATATTACTGGAAACACAGTTGATATACTGTAAAAAAAAAAAAGTGCAGTAATTAGTGGTAAATATATTACAGTACCTTACTGTAAATAAATTCTGCTGCTATTAATTTGCGAACGTTACAGTCATTTTTTTTACAGTGCAGATTGTGAATGATACGATGTTAAATTACTGAGATTCGCACCCATACCTTCCTCAGAAATACATTCATATACTGCAACACAGGAATTTTATGCAAAAAGTGAGATCAAATTTGTGGCTTTATTAAGAAAAAAAAAAAAAAAAAAAAAAACTTCAAGGTAATAGTTGTTCTTTCTCTTTAGTTGGTTAACTTCACATTTTGTACTGTTGATCAACAGTTGAGTACCTGATTTAGACACAAATATAATGTTCCTAGTGGTAATGAAAGACCAATTCCACACATTAGTTAAATTGATAGCTTGGAGTTGCATTCAAAGCCATTGAGTTTTACTCTGCTGTTTCTTAGAGCAGTGAAATTGTCCCCGGATGTACCAGTAAACAGAGTATGTCAGTTTGCTGAGTAACCAGGGTTCTGTAATTGGGACACACACTGAATGGTCCATGAGGCCTAAAATCATGATGAAATACTGCAGAAGGTAGTATTTTCCTACACCTTATCTGAGTGGTCAAAAACATGACCACGTGTAAATGTAACCAAATGTTTTTGTAGAACTCAAGCACTCTGCTCTGTGCTGCTGAACATGTTAGAGCTGATATGACATGCTTGTGAAAGAAAATGGGTCAGTGTATGGTTGCTTGTCAGAGAACTGTGTATGATGTATATTAGCAGTTATTTGTATACTGATATACTGAACAAAACTGGCTACCTTGAGCAGGCAATTTGAAAATAACTGATTCTCATTGGCTCTGCATTACAATATCAATGATGGGATCCAAGCATAAATGAGTTTAATATAAAACACTTTTATAGAACTTTGGCACGAGCTTGGCACAAGCTTTTACTGTTGCTGTTTTAATTCAGGTTAAATGACAAATGCAGCCATAACATCAGCTGTCCTGCACACTTATATATAATGTTGTATGTCTGTTTTTTTGTTTTTCATCTAGGACTCTGCAGAGAAATACACTGCTCTCTGAAGAAACATATCAGAGATTTAATTCATTTTTGTTTGAAATGATGTTTTTGCCAATGGCACTCAGATGAGATAAGACTTAGATGTTCAAATATCTACTATCTTTTGAAATACCCTTACATTTCACGTAATCATGTGTTTTTCACGTGACTATGTACGTAACTTCATCATGTGAAAAACATGTGGAGGTGCTTTTGTTGAGCCGTGAGCTCATGACAGTAATCTGTGACAGCATGATAATAATTTGTGCTCACATTAAAAAAAAAAAAAAAAAAAAAATCGTCTTTGAAAATAAATGGCTCATTGAAAAAAAAAAACGTGAAAAATGTGTTAAACATGTGAAGTGTCTAAAAACCCCATTTGTAAAATTTATATGTGAATCATGATTATTCTCATGTGATTTTCCTGTAAGTGTAGTTTTTATCTATTTAAATATTTGAGTTTCAGTTCCATGAAGACAGCTGGCAACTTGCCTTTTTTAATTCAGCATGACTTTGGGCGACACCAACCCAAAGGTCAATGGATCATTTCCAGTGTTGACATTTATTTGTGTGGTGCAAACAACACAATTATGTGAAAACCGATATTGCCATGGCAACTCTGGCATTTCTTGAGAAATGATTTGTCTTCATGAGGGTTTATGTTGTTTTTGTGGAG